GTATCGTGTATACAACTTTCGTGTATTCTTAACTATTTCCAAGAAACAATAAGAGTATGGATAGATTTTTATTTTGATCCGAAATTTTACGAATTGTAAATTGTTCACAAACAAATCCAACGTAGACGCGACATTAATATTACGAAGATTGTTTAATAAAATATTAAACTTCGACATTACACAACTAATAAATATTATTATCAATACCCTGGTACTATATACAATTAACGCTAACGTTTCGAAATATGTATCAGAAGATTCGTCAATCTCCAACCACAATACCAATTATCGTTTCAATGTTGATCGTACACGATCAGTAATGTTGTTAATATTTGTATGGCACGATCAATATCATTGATCAACAAGACATCTGTCGACTAACAACATTATCGATCGTATTTGATCTTACGGATCAGCAGGCATATGTGCAAAATGGAGAGTCACGTAATTTCGAAAGGATGAATACATCCCCGCTATGGTTTCCGTACGGTGTCACTCTTAACGTTCAAATATTCGTTGTTTCGCGCGCATCGGTATTCTTGGTGTATGGAAATGCAATTTAGCGCACGAGGCAGTCTTTGTTGGTCGATTTCGTTGTCTGGAACGGGGACGCGCGTTTCGGCCTACGTTATTGTTCCACGAAAGCGCCTTTGTGCGCACTGTCACGCGCTATTAAAAGCGCAACGATAACTTTCTCGACGCGCAGAATTTTCGTTCGTGTTTCGTCGTATCGTATGTCGGTCGGTGACAAAGGGACGGCTAAACGTCGCTGAATGTCTGGTACGTACGCTTTGTCGTTTCATGGTACAGACAATGGTTACGGAGACGGATGAAAAAGTCCAAGAAGAAGTTGGTTTTTTTTTGGTTTCTTTTTTCAAGACGAGAACTGGATCTAGGGAAAAATTTCGCGAATATGTTGGAGCAGACGGGTTTATGAGATTAATTCGCGCGGACGCGCATGAGACGGAAATGGAGAGGAATGCATTTCACGTCGAAGCTTGACTACTTTTTCTACATTGCTTCCGTAATATGACCTCCTTTGTAATTCGTTTTATGGAAGAAATAGGTTGAATTAATTCAAACGTTGCGCGGTCTAATTGCTAATTCTGTAACGCGACACTGTTCTAGTTTTATATAATTTACTATATTATAACATCTGTTGTACGCTTCGTATAATTAGAATTCTGTTGCGCGTGTGGCTCGGTAATTAAGGCAAAGAAAGATTAAAGGACAGAGAGAAGGTTAGAATTTTCTACTGGGGTCAATGTAAACTAAACTCACTTCACTGTTTGAATAGACACACCTCATGTGTAAATAAAAGTAAGTGGGATAATTTATATTATTTATACCTTGTTATATTCGTTCTATCAACTATATTTTCGAGGCTTGTGTTTTCCAACGTTCATCCCTCTGGCAGTAGGGGTAGAATACTCTTCATATACAGAGCCATTATGTTACGTTATTATGTAGAAAATCTTGTTCAATTTTTCATAGGTTGAAAGTGCACTCTAGGAATAAAGCTATTTCCCGTTCGAAGTCGCTGCTTTCCGTTCTGAATACCACTTACCATTTACCAGCATGTACTAAACACGATCGATCTCCGCCAATCGAGATTCCAAGGTTCACGCGGGACGACGCCGATCGTCGTCGATGTCTCCTTGACCGGATTTTCACGCGAACCGAATCGTGCTACGCTCGTAAACGTAGCCTGTCGTCGCTCCGAATTCCAAGCTTTCCACATTCTCTTCCGTTTACTTCTACTGTGTTTATTTCATCAAACGTCTCAACCATGAACATCGCTCTCTTAAACTTTAGCACCGCCGTCTTATTTCGCTTTTAAGTAAGAATTAACGTCCCGTATGAATCTACGCGTAAAACGATTCACCATTATCTTTTTCTTGAACTTCTTGTTTCATACTCGTACTTCGTCCCCGCGTTCTTCCCGATTAGGTTTCATATTAAACGCAGAAGCGAGGAACAGCGCCCGATTCGACAACTTGCACGATTTTTATGACCATTTAATATTTTATACTTAACGGGACAAATTTTGTTTGCCGTTATAAAAGAGCAATAGCAAGGAGTTTGCTCGAATGGAGAAATATTTTATTGGATAATAAAGACAAGGCGACAATCGAGGAACGACCAATGTTTTCTTCAAACTGATTACATTACGTCTCTTAGTTTAATTTTTGAATTATAAGTTAGATCAAGGAGATCCTTCTGAATTGATAGGAAACTTGTCTATATTAATGCAAGCTGTGCTATTTAAATCTTAAAAAATCTGCGTAGTAGTATATATGGAAAATAGTAAAAAGTATCATCCTCGTGTCTTAACGTTATAGTTTACGAATTTTATAGAAATAGAGTAAACGATACTTTTAATTATTCCACAGTTGGATATTAAAATAGTAGACGTTAGTGTAAACGAAGTATAATCTAATTTAAAGTAATAATCTAATTTCATTCTTCCGTGGGATTCGTCCTTTCGCGATCCTTTATATCTTCGTTAACGGTGGATCATTTTCCTTCGATGTTTCGAACGTTTCTTGCAACGAGGTTTACATTGCAATAAGCATTTTGCCACCATATGTCCGCACATTTCTTCCGAACCATCACTGTTTTATTTCTTCGCTCAGGCAAGTGGCATTAACCTAGAAAAGCTCCGTTTGGTTTGACGGTCTCGAAACACTGGTGCGCTGCCTTTCAACTAGACTCCCGTTTCAGAAGCACATTATTTCTGACATTAAGTCGACGTGTTGAACCCTTTTCTTCCAACGATTTTCCTCCATTTGTCAGTTGACTTCAAAGAATTGTCTTTTCTAATAATTTCAGACAAAGGCTTATTATTTTATTCCTTTATATGGTCTATTTTATATTCTCATCATATTACGTTACGGGATTATTTACAAGGTTAATGCTATACAATTTATGTAGAATTAAAGTAATGTTAAAAAACACCAACGAAAAAGTACACCAATAAAAGTCTTCAAATTAATTTGAATTTTAATTCAGAAATATGTTCGTGGAGCGTTTCTTCTCTTCAATTAGGTATATTCTTCTAAACCTATAAATTTCCTATCGCATAAAAATCCTTGCAATGAGTTTCTAATTTCTATCAAACTCAACCTACGTAGTATTCTATATTCTACTCATCTTATCTTCTTCTATTCTAATTTTCATCACACAACAAAATTTATCCCACTATGTACACCAGTCCATACCATCGCTATCCTTGATGAGAAGATTGTTAATGACATAGCACAGGGGCAAGCCAATTACGTGCTATTCGCCATCGCTCGTCATTACACTACACATGTAATCTTATTGTGATAATACGCGTGCTTATCTTCAAGATTGTATCGGATTTATCAAAAGTAATCAATCAGACCCGCATTCCTTTGCCCGGTCATATTCTAATTTCTGCATAATACTGTACAGTACATAGACAATACAACAGAGATAAGCACGCCTATTCACCACAAGCGTTATATATGTAAACATGACAGAATGACAAATATGGTCAGCGATAGAGAGCGGTACTTCTCGTATCTCCGTGCTGTCTTCTAATCATCTCCATTTAATACCTCTTCCTTCAATCGTCTCACTTGAAGCGACCCTATTAAACAGACTGCGGATGTTTATGCAAATTCATATTTTTATGAATATAAAATGAGAAAAGTGAAATCTAAATAACTTAACTACTAAATATTACAAGAAATACCGTGCTTTAAACATTTTATATATTCTTGCATGTTCAACTTCAGGCCAGTAAATGCATAAAAACCTGTAGTCTATTAATAAACTTCCATCCCAACAATATCCTCTTCCACCATTTTTTCCCTTCTTAAGGAACACCATCGTTCCATCGCCATGATCCAAGCCGTAGGTAGAATCCAGCTAGCTATATTATTGTTGTTAACAGAGTGCCCCTGGTTGTTTCAGTTACGGAAGCCAGTGTCGACACTCTCGATCCCGGGGGCGATGAAGAACAGCGGCGGCGTGGCCGGTG